GACTTCTTCCTCAGAGGGATGCACTGCTCTTGAGCCTGGAGGAGGTGATGCTTGAATATTAACCAGCTCTCTTGGACCCCTCTTCCTTCTAGGGCCCTACCCCATGAGATTCCCCTAAGTAGGTCCCTCAAGAGGCCAAAGTCAGCTCTCCTGAAGTCCAACTTACCAATTTAAATCAAATGGCAGACAATTGCTAATTATTTAGTCCTACAAAGAGAAATTCACTCAGGACTATTGGCCAGTCGTCATGGTAAAATTCTAAAGACTGAAAACAAAGAGCTGCCTGTGCTTCTAACACAGGCTATGAAAAAAGCTGAATGAGCGAGGAGCCTAAGCATTAACAGCATCTGTGCAATTCTGAATATCTCTGGGCATTTTACAATTTATTTAACAAGCCATGATCACCTATTTTCAGTTCCTAGCTAACATGTTCTATTTAATTATTGCATTCTTTGAGAAATCAGCTGGCCAGTATGAGGTGAAATGCCAAACTGCTGCTACCCTGAGGCAAGCGAAAAAAATCTTGCTATAAGGTGATGCAAGAGTGGAGGACGTTTTAAAAAGGAGAAACAAGAGCTTGAGACGGATTGCAGAGAAGAATATGTAAAGAAGCAGTAAAAACAACTAATTAATAAAAGCGACAAGATCAAGGTGGCGATATATAAGAGTGGCAGGTTCTGGCAAAACAGAAGCGTGCCCTTCAACATCATCTCTTGGAAGTGCTGCTTCCCTGTAGGTAGCTAGAGGTAGAAACAGCAGAGAGCAGCTTTGCAACTAACTGGCAGCAATCCGAGCCGCCGTTTCTTCTCTCCTCCGATAAATTATTTTAAAAGCACTAGCATGAATTTGATTTCCTAAACCCCTTCGCTACTCACAGCACCTCAAGCTAGGATAAAATTAACTGCAATCAATAAGTAGACTGGGACTGATGAAGAGCAGTTATAATGGAGCTGTTAAAGGCCAGGCAGAGTGAAAAACCATACAGCTGAAAACAAGGTATGCAAAGAGAGATGATTTTCTTCACTGGTTTGTCATACATCCATCTTCATTAAGAGTGCCATTCTGCATCTAACAGCACTGTTGATAGGGAACATTAATTGCACTGATGCAGTTAAAAAAAAAAAAAAAGAGGATATGTATAGAATGTGAATCACAGAAAAGAAGTTGGTTACTAAGAACAAGCTTCGACTTACCTGTCCTAAAAGAGCCTTACTTTAGCTAGCTCATCTTGGGCACATATTTCATCTGAAACCATATGTAAGCCAATTTCTATTAGCAAAGAAGCACAGAGTCAAGCCAGTACCATTTTGCGGACTGCTTTTCAGCGAGATCTCCCTTCTGGTACAAAAAAGACTAAATATTTAAAGAGTATTCAGGCTATCTTAAAATGGCCCTAACTCCCATCTAACCTGCCTTCCCAATGTTTCAACTCAACACTGCCCATTACTGACAGCAGTTTGAAAATCCCTCTGAAGCATTCTCCCAGTGGGCCAACACATGCACGTTACCAACACCAGAGACTGGTCTTGATTATGTGAGAAACCTGAAGACCCTTAAAAGCAGCTGTTGGCAAAGAATTCCAAACCAAGCGACAACTTACCATTGATTAGGCTGCTGACCTGAGATACCAACTGACTAGATTTTTCCAAAAGATGACAGCCATTGGGATCCACTGCTCTGCTCATCAAGCCTTGGCGATCACCCTCCGGCTCTTCACGACTTGTTTTGGATGTGTTACCGTAACTGAAGTCAGGGAAAGACCTGGTCAGCTTCTGGTTGAAGTATTTTTGAACCTCATCCAGCTCACTCAAGTTTTTTCTGTAAACCGTAGTTAAGAAATTGGAAGAGAAGAAGTATATGGCAGGTTGGTTCTATTTCTATTGTACTTGTCAGCAGCATGCAGATATATGAACACAAGATTAAGGGCTATTATTGAAAAAATAGATCAGTAGGTGACAATGTTGAGGTTGCTCTGTCTAAGCAAAAGTTCAACAGTAGCTCAAAAACAAATGCTGAAACAGCTATGAATAACTTTAGACTGGGAGTTGAAAAAGAGCAAGTTTTAAGCACTCTTAATCAAAGCAAGTTGGATTCTGAAACGGCCTTCCAACAGAAGTCATAAAGGCAAGGACATTAGCTGACTTTATGACTGAGCTTGAAAAAAATCTGAGAAACTTTATCCTCATAAGAGCTAAGGATTTTATGATATACTGCTTATTGTAGCAGGGGAAAGGAACGAATGACCCCAAAAGTCTTTTTCAATCTTTAAGCCTAGAATCTAGCCAAAGGGAAAACAAGTGCTTCTGGGAAGATGTGTTAAACAAAAACAAACAAAAAACAGAAAAAGGATATCCTGTGGTGTGCACAATGCAAACGCTTATAGGCTTGTTCTTGTACCTGCAAAAACCAGCTCAAAAAACTATTGTCTGAACAGTGTGTGTTGTGTTACAGATGATCAAAGATGGATAAAACAGTGCATTCAATCTAGATCTGAAAACACTGTTACTGTAGCCCTTGGGAGACTCACTCACTGCACTGCCAGAGCACCTCAGTCTTAATGCAGAGTTGCCCCCTTAGTCCCCACTTATTCCAGTCTCATTTCAGCCTGCTGTAAATTACACTGATCTCTGCCTGATAGCTATTTCATCAGTTATTGTCTTAGTTTAATTTTCTTTTCCTTTAAAATTAGATGCGAGATTTCTTCAGTTTCAAGCTCTGCTTTGCAAATCTAAGCCTTGCATCATCTTTTTGGCTATGCCTCTGCTTTACCTGAGAGCAGACAGAAGAGCAGTGCGCGATGACAGCGATAATGAGTCCATCTTTGCCGCTCGGTGCGCATTCCCTTCTGCTTGCTGCAAGGATTCGTGAAATCTGCGCACATTCTGCATGTGCTCTTCATGGCGAGGTGTGTGTGTCCCAGGGGTACTAATTCTGCTAGGAACGGGCACACATTTGACAACAGATAGCAGCTAATTTCTCTAATTGCAAAAAGTCTCCCAACTGAGAATATCCAAAATCTTTAAATGCATTAAAGAGCCACTGAAGGATTGAACTAGTTCATCCAAATGTCACAAAGCATGGCATTTACAGAGCGTTTCAGATTTACATTAAAATAAAGCAAATGGCAGTCTCCCTGCTGACTAATAGCGGTGCTGATAGGAAATCTGCAATGCCTGCTGGGAGCTGCAAAGCCAGCTGTTCAGACCAAGTAAGAGTGCTACCTGCTGCTGGCCTGTCTGAACCCTGGCAGTTTGCTGAGACCGATGCCCTGTCCAGCTGCTTTCAAGACTCATATAGGAAAAGTATCATCTCCTACACATGCTAAATAAACCAACTATGACTTAACAATAGACTTCAGCCACATAGAGCCAACAGGCTTCGGCTACAGAGATTTCTGAGCCTTGAAAAAGATCAAGACGACTAGCAACCAGCTGACTTACCGCTCTCGAGTAGGAACGCTGACTTCATTCGATAAGGTATTCAACATCTGCTTGGAAAAACTTGTAGTATTGCCGGGAAGTGCTGCAAAGCTGACCTTCACCTAGAATAAAGAGGAACAGTGCACGTGAGCCTGCCACAGTAAGAAAACAGAAGATTTAAAGTAAGATCTTGCTGGACTAACAAAAACTTAAGTTTTCTAAAGAGCTTCAAATTGTTAAAGGATTTTCCAGCACTGAGCCAAAATACCATTTAAGAACACTTTTATTTCGGAAACATTTGTTAAAGGGTAGATTCAAATATCAGTATGAAACCTGTTTTTCAGTCTCTGTTGCTTTGTAATCACAGCTTCCAATGTACATTTTCCAGTTCCAAGCCTGCTGTATAAAACAGCCATCCAAACAAGGGAAACCTGACAATTCAGTAGGGAACGGCACTGACATTGGTATAATGTAAAATCATAAAACCCACAAAACGTTAACTAGACAGGAGAAGATTCCATCTCTTTGCTTCCAGTAATTGTATGTGTTATGTGCAGCATGGGAAGGGTTGTTGGTTCCCTCCTCACACCCTGTGAAAGAGTAAACTGAGGGAAAGTAGGGTGTAGGGACACATGTATGTCACACCCCAGAGCAACTGGAAAGTCTAGAGAAAAAAAATGCATGCATGAACCGGCAAATCTTCCAGAAAATTTTTCCAGAAGAAAATTTCTAACCAACAAAAAAGGCTGAATTTACAACACACTTTGGGCAACAGCTGCCAACCAGAGCAGCAAACAGAGCAATGCCAGGCCTCCAGATATACAAAACCACAGAATATTCTCCTGACTAGCAATTAAAAAAAGACAAAGACAAAAAACACTGCCCAAGAAATCCAACAAAGCAACAACAGGGCAATAAGAGCTGCTGGAGATGATCACGAACTAGGTTTGAATGAACTCTGTAACAACAGTATTGGCCTGCAGTTACTGTGGAGAAAATAAAGCAATATTCTTAAACATGGAATTAAGTATTTCTGGTACGGTTACTCAGGCTGATCCCTTACAGTGCTGCCAAGCTGCTGTGTTTCTGCATCGCTTCGGAAACGTGGAGAATCCCTGATGACTATTAGCAATCTAGTCGGATATGCACAAGTTCGAAGAAAAGGTTCAAGGAAACTGAAGTACATACTGAAGAATTTGGTGGCTGGGTCCGGATCCTTGCCTGTCTTTCTTCTTTGAGGTTACTTATACTTTGAAGAGGGGAAACTGCTACTTTGATCTGCCCTCGGCACTGTCCGCTGAAGTCTGTAATATTGTACCACCCGCACACTAGCTGGAAGCCAGAAAGAAGAGGAGATAGGTCCACAGATGCAAACCCTATCACTCGCTCAGTCTCTGCAGAAGAAGAATATAAAGCACATATTAATTTAAACTGCATTTAAAAGAAACATTTTCAGGAATGGTAAAAATCAGTCAGCCCTTGAAACACTTTCAGACTTTACAGGGACAGACATCTAAAACTCAGAAAATTGGGTTAAAAGCTGCCAGCTCTCATGAGGCAAAGAACAAGTGAAGATTAAAAAAAAGTGAGGGGATAATGAATGAGAGAGTTTAAGAAAACAGAAGGGAGACTAAGACTTAGATTTAGGTTGCTAGCAGGCTTCAAACTAGGATAGCTATGATGTTTGATGGAAAAGACGACGACTGTTTCAAACAACTGGACCAGCTCCCTCCCTACGTATTTGCCAAAAGTGGCTGTTGCTATTGGAGTTACCAACTGTAGCACCTACATTGGTACACTGGTAATAACTTATAGCAGAACGAGGGCCTTGCTGCAGGTGTAACAAAGCACATGAGGGTTACATACCCTATGCAATACATCAGAAAGCCTAAACAAGGGTTATAATAAAGGAAAAAACATTCAGCTTGAAAATAGGCTAGAAATAAGAGACAATCAGAGATTTAAAAAAACGAATGTGAAGGCCAACCTGGGGACCCCAGCAAGTGTGTTCTGCAGCCAGAACTTTATTCTCACT